GTGTGTGTGTGTGTGTGTGTGTGTGTGTGTGTGTGTGTGTGTGTGTGTGTGTGTGTGTGTGTGTGTGTGCCGGTGTGCGTGCGTGCATATGTGTACCAGGTATGTAAACTCACTAAATAATATGTTTAAAATTACGAGGACAGTAACCAGGACCGGTGGTCACCGTGTTCTGTATCGGTAGCTTCGTACATAATATTATCTTCACTACACGAGAACCACGTAATTATGCTCCTACGCACTCGCGGTATACTCAGGAATTTATCTAGTAGAACAATTCCTTGCCGTGTGCTATTTCCATGCTTTTATTTAGAGGAATATACAATTTATTTGAAGGACTGTTCGTTTCTGTATTTATTGTGAATATGAAGTGTATGTAAATACATTTTGACGTTAAAATGACGCTGACGGCTTTGATTCTATTATTATATTCCATCGCATGTTCAGTAACATTTTAGCTGTTGGTATTTATGGAACCGAATTCGATGTGCCGTGTTTTTGCGCCAACACTAATTTAGTGTCGAGAAAAACCCAAACTAACAAAACGTTAGGTAAAATATAAGTATAGTGTACAGTATACACCGGTTAAATGAAGAACTGAAGGATCAGATCTAAAAATAACGCTAGAATAGTCGGAAAATAAGACAAATCGTCACAAAGAGTGTATCCCTATCGCTACCACATTTCCCACATGTTATTTATTCGTAAACTACGCTCCAGTAGTGGGGCTAGAGGAGGAAGAAAACAACGAAAACGACAAGAAGAAGATGAATAAGAATAAGGTGGAGGAGGAGAAGACGAAGACGAAGCAGAAGAATGAATAAAAAGAAGATGCAAAAAACAGAAAGAAAACGTTCCTAGTGTTAATTGAAATTGTGCGCGTTTTCTTTAACACGCTATTTACACACCTACACGCAGACATAAACACCCACGGGTATGGTTGGCCGTCGTACTCAGAAATAATTATTTTTACCGCGGTAGAAATAATTCAACCACGGGTGAATTATGTGTAACAAGGCCTCTGATTGGGTAAAACGGCAATCATTTTACCGCGGTTAAATTATGTGTAACAAGCCCTCTGACGGGGTAAAAAGGCAATCATTTTACCGCGGTTGAATTATTTTTACCGAGGTTAAATTATATGTACCAAGGCCTCTGCTTGGGGTAAAAGGCCCATAATTTAACCGCGGTTGAATTATTTCTACCGCGGTAAAAATAATTATGGCCAAGCATACGCGCGGACACATGGATGGACGCGCGAAAATGTTGGGGAAAAAACCTAGTGGTGATCCACTGCTATTATGTTTACCGCCACTACACTAGTTCATGGGATCGTTCAGATAAAGTGTGCATGTATCAAATGAATCGTTCGCTAGATTACCTCGAGATGATTAGACACTTGTGTACAAAAACCAGAGAAATATATAGAGACACTTAGTCTAGTAATAGTATAACCAGTACATTATTTCTATAGACTAAACTTTTTTGTCGTTCGTGGTGTATAATTTATATAAGCGCGTCTATAATACGTGAGCGTGTGCGCGTGCGTTCCCATATACAGTGTAATATGGGTAGATATGAGTTTTGCACGTGCCCGCATATGGGGATGAAATATGATTGTTTTCTATGTTCTCTATGAAAGTAAACTAGCTGGCGGTTTACTTACTTCCAATATCGTCAGTGTACTGCTCACTGGAGCGATGTAGAATCCCAGAGAAAGGTTTCTAGCGCGCGCGCCGCCATAAGACGGCGAAATTAAACATAACGCGCAGGCTTGTTTGGACACCCGCCGCCTCAGCTAAGCATTCATGAAAAAGCAATGTCAATCAGGCCACATACAAAGAGCAAAGATAATGTCCGCATTCTAATACGGTCCGAGTTAGATCTACAACGTATGTATAATCGGGTGGAACTCCGTGCCGATATTTATTACAGAGCTTTATGAAAGTTCGTAAATTACTTGCTTACCATGTTGCAAACACGTAGATTTACTCGATTAATATTCGTAGAATGTCGACATAGGCCTATTAATATGTCAAATGTATTTTCCAGGCGATTTCCATTGGCCTACAAAGTGGAGTTTACCTATAGGCATTATTTTCATTGTTACAATACGCTTACTGCAAAGTATAGAGTAAGAGAAATGACCACAAAAGCAAACAAATACAAATTAAATTAACTTTTCATTTACTTTTAATTTAAACAATAATTTAAAAAGGACTAGCTAACGTACAAGACATGCCACGGAGTGAGTGCATAAGATGCCGTTAAAAACCGATTTATAACTGATTATTCACAATTATTTGGTGCGGTACAACTTCAACACAACCAGTCTTTTTACACCCATTTCTCTTTATCCATTCGCAAATAAGAGGCTTCCAGCCAAAGCAACATCACAAACTAAGAACTAATGGTAGCTGGTTAAATGAGCGAAATGCTGACATTCTGAATACAACCGTCCTGACCGATCAGATGATCAGATGAATTCGGGGAGCTAACGGCACTCAGTAATACTGAGCTCTAACACTTCCTAGTGAACGTGGAAATTGTTGCTTGTTATTATCACAGGCTACTTACAAACAAACAAACAAACATACAAACAAACACAATCGCTACACGCTATTGTTTTTTAGCCTATGCAATATAAATAATTATTTAGAAAACCATAATCTGAAATCATGTCTCGATTTACATATACCTCAACAACCTACATTACAAGCATAGACCGCACTTCCATCTTACACGGTATCAACATTCGAAATTGTTTCCACAACCAAACTGCAAATGGACAGTACATATGAATAAGTTCACAGTCGATGTCGATGGAAACGTTGAAAGTAAATGACAGGGACTGAAAACCTGCCACAGCGTCACAAGAGTTAGAGGTCGTCATTGGAGGCCAACCAACGTGACGACGAAGGCCCTAAGCTAGCTCTATATTTAGAACACGAACATTGCAAGCATGTTTTACCACGGAGCATGGCGTACTGTAACAGCACTGCCTAGAAACATTTGCGCAATAACCGCTTCTTTTGCTTCCCGCGCTGAATAGTCTTAATGCACTCCCTGTTGCATGGCGAACATGAAAGATCATCACGCCACGGTGTGGCTAAACATTAGCCCTACAGTGCTTCTATAAGCGTTAAGGTGGTTGTAAATACACAAACATAAACGGGTAAACTGTAGGGAAATAATGCGACTACATGCATGATGCACTATTAAAATCTGAAACACGAAGCTCCAGCAGAATATATTGAACGATGCTTATGCTGATATGTACTATATGAGATGGGTTAGTCTTCTGGGCATGCAAGTAATCTAAGTTTCAAAACACAGCGAGTTAATACAAAATGATTCTGGTTTCCAAAAAGGTAAACGGCTGTACAGTATACATAATCTATCCACACACATGCCAACGCCAACATCTTGTGCTTATCATTCACTTATAGTCCCAAGAATGTCACCAGACCAGAATGCAGAGTTGTATGCGGATTAACTGACTACATGCCAGACAGTAACTACATTGATCTCAGACTGCCCTCAAACATTTATCAATATATGATCGTCTGTCTCCCAGCAAAAATTGGAAAAGTTTGAAGTAATCGTGTGAACTAGGGCTTGCACGTTTTTAATGACCAGTATTTACGCCGAGCCAAAGTTGCGGATACCGCGACTCCGACTCGAGAATCGGCGGCAGCGCCGCTCGATGTAAAAAAAGCTTGCCGTCACGTCGTCGACGTCTACCCAGCTATCGTCATCGACACGTCGGTAGCACTCACAGACGCAGCACGCTCGCACATTTCGCGCCTCACAAGATGTCTGTCTCGTAGATTTTCATCTCAGTTCGCTTCTGCGTCGTCGCCGTCGCCACCGCCGCCGCGTCGTCGGCCGGCCCTGCCGACGGCGTCTTCGGTTTCGGCGACTGCGCGCGCGCGTCGCCGTTCACCTTGTGCGTCGGCGTCAGAGCCGTGCCCTTCTGCAGTTCCTTCTGCAGCCGCGAGTACTGCTCCTGCAGCGCCTGCTGCTTCATGATGAGCTCCTCGTGCTTACGCGCGAGCATCTCCTGACGCGACGTGCGCGACGATGACAACGCGTGCGCCGCATCCTTGCTCGGCGTGCCCTCCTGCGAGTTGATGCTCTCAGAGCTGGAGCTGTTGCTCGAGACAGGCGCGCGCGTGTACAGGTCGTCCGTGATCGCGTTGATGCGGATCACCTCGTGCGCGCGGCCGCCCGCCGCCGCCGCGCGCCCCGGCGTGTAGTCAAAGTCCTCGGGCTCCGACTGACTGCGGCCGTGCTTCGAGATGTTCGACTTGTCGATGGTCGGCGACATGCTCGGGTCGAGCAACGCGCCGAAGCCGCCCGGTGGCCCGCTCACAGGCGACATTTCCTTGATGGGACTCAGCATGCCCGTCGGCGACAGCAGTGGCGACGTGAGGCTGCGGCTGCGGCGCGGCGGCGGCGGCGGAGGCTGCTTGCGCTTGTCGTTGGGAACGAGCGCGTCGCTGAAGGAGGAGCCGGGCGACGACGACAGCGACGACGGTGGCTTCTGCGAGGCGGCGGCGGCGCCGGCGTCCTTTCCCTGAGACGTCGTCGCGGCAACGAACTTCTGCGAGCCGTCCGACACAAGCACCTTCGCGATGGTGTCGGCGTCCTTCCTCGGCGACATCAGGTTGCGCTTGACCGTCGAGTAGTGGTCATCTTTATCGGACGACGTGCCTGCTCTCGGCGGCGTTTTGGAGCGCGTCGGATCAAAGCTAGGCGAGTAGTCGGATGGAGACGAGCCTGTACGCTCGTATAGGCTAGAGATGGCGCGATCAAGCCGGTGTTCTGTATCGGCCATGTACTGAGTGTCGCGCAGGGCCTTCTGTGCAAGTTCCAAGTTCCTCTCGAACTTGTCTCCCTGCAATGTGGTTACTGAGGATTAGTATCGGTGCAAGTTACACGATTAATCACGAATCGCTAAATAAGTGCTAAGCACATTCACAGTTAGTTAATGATCATCCTGAAGCATCTGAACGTGTAGTGATAAAAACAGCTGTTACCCTTTTTGTAAAGTCAATCTTTTTTCTCAGTGACAATTCTCGATATAATTTCTCCTGTTGAGCAATGTATTCGAATTAGAAAGTAAACTGTATTAAGATGCTTCCAGGAATGTTTGGTTACAGAAGTTACCTGTATTAAATAGCTAACTAGGTAATAATACTGTAATTGTTATTGCTAACGCTATGCTATTGCTATAAAGGTTAGATTGCATGCGTATATGCAAGCGACTGTAAGATGATAAAAAAACCTGTTGGCTAAACACCTGTTTCACATAAACGTTAACACAGCTATACGAATACGACATGTTACTGCTATACGATTCGGTTCATCAATTTCTCCCTGGCTTCACCCTTGGTTGGCTTATATTGCTTCCCGATTTTTGTGACTCAGAATCGATCTGTTTTTCTTCAGGCAAGATTTTACCTGTGCATTAGATGCCCTATAATCAGGCTTTGCAGCTTCTGCAGAGGAGCTAGTGGTAGCTGCTCGCTGCTCTTGCACAGACGCTAACCTGAAATTAGGAGACGTAAATTTAATTTCTACTAACATATAGTAACTTGTTTAAACAATATCCTAATCAATGTGCATTGACTGCAAAACAATGCAAATCTCATGCACCACTATTTCTGCCATATAGCCGATTTAAAATCGCTCTGCCTTCATCAAGATTAATCATGCTTGTCGAATCACTGAAATAGTACGCCATTGCAGCGCACGTGGTTTCACCTAAGCTCCATTCCACCTCATTTGCATATCTATCAGATCCTGATTTAATTAATGTTAATGTAAGCATAATAAAGCAGAGCATTTCACATATCGATACGTCAAGTGGTACAGCGTGCATGGGTGCACCGTGAATGCATGTGCACCCCCGTACCGTTTCAGCGTGAAGAGCGTGCCCGTGAGACGCTTGCATCGCTTCAGGGCATTGTCCAATCGATCTGGTTCTTCCTTCAAAAACCTGCAACACAAGAGTGCACTTTAGCTTCATCACTGCACCTGCGGGTGTGTGACAGCGAAGCAACCCTGATTGCGCTGGAAATAGTTTCACCAGCTGCCCTCTTTGCCAATATCGAACAGTTGGTGCGGTGGGCCACACGGGACGGTCATGCTGAAATCACCACAGAGTATACGACGATTTGAAGAGCGATTTGAGATTCGTGTAATCCACATCTTAAGTTAATTCTTCTCGTGATTCAATCAATGATAATATATGAAAATTTTAGAAACGACCTGATAAAGATTCATATTCATGAAAACGAAGACGCATTACTATAGTACTAGAATTAATACAAATATGAAATGAAAATAAATGGTAATCATGTAAGATACTAAGAAAGAATATACCAAAGAATTGTTGTGCTAGGATAACCTGCGATCATTTTGAATCAGACCCAACAAAATTAATAGTTTGAATCAATAATCAGATAAAATCATTTGCATCATTTTGTACTGACTTCAGGCACAAACCTGATTACGATTCTCACCGACATATCATCAGAAATGCAACATGGCCATATGGCCTGCAAGCAAACCTCATAATACCCAGAACTTATTCCCAGAATTTTACGCTAGGAAAGTATTTGTGCTTACTTTTCTTCTCGCACGACCACCTCCATCTCGGCGTCCATGATAGTCTTCAGTTGGTCCTGCAGGTTTGGGAAGCGCACCTTGAGGTCGGCTATGGCTCGACTGGAGTGACTCAGAGCCACCGCCATCGACTCAACATCCTGCATGTTGACGCGACAGCGACGGTTGATGACGTCACTCCTCAGCTCCTCCACAGCGCCCTCTAGGTCTCTGCAATTAATGCATACAATTATCAGAGACTGGAAGAGAGCCACGAAACGTGAATTAAGTGACGGCATGTGGCTTAATTACTTTCTCTGCAACCCACTTATATCACATCAGTATGTGAACATATGTCATCACACGATGCAGCATCAACATGAAACAGTTACTCATTCCCAAACTATATTCGCTCTTAAATGTGATCGACCCTTCTACCTCATCCTGTTATGTAATGACAGGACTATTTTATGGGCAAGATGGAAGGTGTGGACAACTCACCTATTGCAGAGATGAAAACTCACATTTACACTTACAGACAGATTTGTATATTACGTACGTTACTGCTGATCTTGAACAAATATATAAGTATTGTATAAACATGTTTATGATAACAATACATGTGTGGACTATGTATAATATCAAACATGCACACACCCATTCTCGTACGCACGCACACACGCACACACGCAGGCACACGTGCGCGCGCACGCACGCACGCACGCACGTATAGGGAGTGTATAAAAACAAATTGTCTTTATTCATTCGATATTATGTATCACATTTGTATCCTAGTATACATATCTCCATGATAATATATATCTATGCCAGAATTCCACCAACAGATATATACAATGTTAATGATATTGGACTTTGTAAAGACATTGCATGAAATCTGCCACATCTAGCATACTGGTCCATCACGAAATTAGGGCGTATTACACTAACATCATGGGTCTAACATAACTCCATGACAAGCTGCAAGCAAAATGCATGTACAGTTTTACCTTAGCACTTTCTCCAACATGTCGACATCCTGTCGGTAGCTCTCCTGGTCTTGTTGAATCTTCTTTCTGTCACCCCGAAGCGGTATGTCAGGATTCAGTGGCAGGACCGTCAACATATTCTGTAGATGCAAATCTACTATGATTACATGAACTCTAACACGTATTCTGATCTTGCTGTCTATTTATTGAACTTTCAATGCTTAAGTAGCGGGTTAACTCTTGCATATTAATTCCACTGATTTGAAGGTTAACATAATTGTAGAAGAAATTGGGTATTCAGTTGAGCCTGGGTTATGAAGCTTGCCGAGCTTCATTTGAGTTAGACATTCCATTTTTGAATATATACTAACAAACATTGACAACAGAGAAATCCGCAAATCACTGATACGATTGCCTGGGGGAGATACGCCAAATACAATCAATGTTGGATACTAACAGAACTGCGAACAGCAAAAACGAATGTGATTTCACATGAAAAAGTCATCACGTGATCACCTAGTCAATTCTAGCAGAAAACAAGGCCGGTCCCCTCTCCTGCCTCCAGCCTTACCAATACATACACCACATAAATAGACATGAACCACACTGGAAACTGCTGATGCAAGCACATCCTTTACACATAGCCAAAGAGAATACGCACGAGATGATATTTAGCACCATTATGGCTCGGATATGTTTCTGCAGTGTTTAAAACTGGATATAGAATGGCTTTACACGCCACCTACTATGCCACAACTTGTCAAAACCTTTAGTAAACTAAGGTCGTACATCACAGCGCACACTATTATCAATGCATACCTCTTATCCATAGCTAGGGAATGCTTTAACAGCATATAGGAGACTATGTGAAATAGCCAGAAGGTACTTAATTGACACTTGTTAATCTTTTACTTCTGTTTATCACTTAACATAAAGCACTAAAGTTTCAGAATTTAAAAAACAGTATTGGGATGTTACCTAATAGGGTATTAGACTATCTGCTCAACACTGTTAAATGCATACGGCCAAATACGAGCTAGCAGTCTCACCTTTACAGAATGGTTGCTTGTCTATAAAAGCCACTTTTTGCGTTTTTTAGAGTGAGCTTCTTAAAGAGGTTACTCTACATAGACACACCACACCTACATATATGCATGCACGCAAGCACGCACGCACAAACGTGCCCGCGTACACACAGATACCCACGCACGCACGCACGCACGCACGCACGCACGCACGCACACACGCACGCATATCCACGAACTCACATATGCATGCATACACGCACGCATCCACATATCTAAGCTGCAATGCACACCAGTGATTACGATAATAAGTACACTATGGCTTCATCAGAAAATCAGCGATGGCTTCATCAGCAAAGACCACTGCACGACTGTAACATATAAGGAGATGATATAAAGATAAAGCAAAATTAACTGCTGGAGCACCTTTATCTTGTCAGAGACTTCTCGTATGCTCTCCTTCATGTTCATTGCCTGCGCCTGGGTCATGCGACGCAAGGTCTTAACCTCGAGCTTCAACTCCTGGGTACGTAGATGCAGGTTACGCAGCGACTCTCGGGAGAAAGGGTACTGTACATGTTGACCCTGGGGCGTCGCATAGCCACTTCCACTCACTGCTGCAGATATAAGAACGAATGAATCAATCACGAGACACAAATAAAAGATAAATATGGTTAGGTGTCTGTTCTCGTTGATGCCTTCGTTGTCATAAAATAATAATACCTGTGCAGAACTCATTTGGATCTCTTCACCTGTAATTTAGAGGATTTTTATTACATGCAGTAACAATGTTTCATATGATCCTCCAAGAAACTGGGAATTCCATGGTAGCTAATGATTAAATTCACAATTTATTTGTTGAACACATCGATAACAAACGTGGCTTCATGTTGACCAATTAAAAAAAAAACTTCGTAGAAAGTTCAGAATCGGACACTCCCATTGAAAATATTCAATATTATGTCCACTTCCACAATATGTAACAGGTCACAGCGCATAAAACAGTGAAACATTCGCCACTTCATCTGCCCACTTCGTGCAGATGAGCTTGTCGAGAGAAACGGAAACCAAAACTCCAAATCTCAAAAACCTCCTGCAACCGCAATAAACTCAACCAAAACAAATAATTGAGATCAGCGTGCCCTGTATCATAACAGAGTAAGACATGGATCTGCAGAAAAGCAGCCTGGCAAAACATTACGTGACGCAGATCGAAAACCAAAATAATGTTACGTTTTACACGTAGCCGCAATATGAAATCTATGTGAGGTCTCAATTGGAAACCAAAACAATCTCAGACCCCGATTGAAAACCTGAATAAATGCGATGAAATGGAATAACAACATATAGTACACATCACATGTAAAATGGAAACTAAAGTAACATTGAAAACAGTGTGTCTTATAGTTCAACCACTTCCATACCTTTTCGTTTCGATGATTCTTCTGCACAGATCAGCAGCAAGAAACAGAAACTAGAATGTTAAACCTTTAGAAAACGTGCTGGGGACCCATAACAAACATCCAAAACTTTTACCACTCAGCGAATATACGCCATTACTTTATATGAAACAATTCACATTGCGTCGTACGATGTTAACGCTTGACGTGGAAAACACTATGCGTGAACATGAACTGCTTTGACTAACCGAATTAATTTACCAACCGTCAGGACTAAAGCAGCTGACTGTAATAAACTGCCAACACTGAAGACGTGAGATTGACTACGACACCCTTAATATTGGCTCACACAATGTCTAGGGTTGGTAACAACGTTTATTCACCCTCTGCAACTGTACATAAACCACACGCCTCTAAATGATACCTTTTGTAGGCGTTGTCTGGGTATCCCGAGATGACTTAGTATCTTTCTGACCCGCCGGTACGGCTGTGGCAAATGGTTAGTAAGGGTTATTACAATAAAAGGCATAACCGTTTTTTACTAAAAAAAATAATTTTTCTATCACGGATCCCCAAGGAAGCACTTTTTACGTTGACCAGTACAGAACATTCATGGATATTCGCGGGTTATTTCTGAGAGCCAAGCATGTCAACCAAGTTATGATTGGCTTTTAAAATGGAAAGTGACTTCGAATGAAAATATGGGCGTTTTGTAACCGAAATAGATAACCGAGTTACAGTAGAAATGTATGTGTTAAATTTCTTTCGCTTTTAAGCTACAATGTACGGTATTTTACAGCTATGGCATTAACAACTAAATTACGGTGGCTACGAAAACGCAATATTCTTGATTGTGTGGTAGTGTCATATAGTGATGATTAATGTATGTATATACTTGCCAATTTTTTAAAATATTTATAGATATAATTTTGTCAATGTTAAGAGAAAACCGATATTATTATCCTTTTTCTAAACGTATAGGGAGCACGTCTAGGAAGGAACAATTTGCCTACTAGATATCCGTCCCAATATACTACTTACTACTACTAATACTAATTACTAATGATTCTATTACTTGAAAATACGTTTATACATAGTTGAGTTTGTGAGTTTACGGGTTTATATATGAGAAAGTAAATTACATAGACATTTAGCATATTAAATTGTATTCAGAATATTATCAATATAGAAACAATGACAGTACATGACTATGCGGCATGTCGCGTATTATATTATACCAGTCCCTTATAAAAAGTTTCAGGGTTGCATACCTTTGGCTAAGCTAGCAGGTTTTTCAGGTAGTTTGGGTTTAGGTTTGTCTGCAACACAAAGCACGAAGTGTTACATGAAAAGAAAAACAGTTTTGATCTATTGTTTAACATCCAATTAGTTTTACCAGAATGCAACGTTATTTCCTGTCTATCAAACTACGAGCAATGCACTGTGCAAAATGTAATATTATATATTGTAACCGCGAGTTTGCCACGCAAGGTACGCCCCACTGGAATTTAGGCGATGATACGTATGGGAATACATAACTAACACAAGTCCGACTAACACAATGTAATAATATACGCAGTTAGAGATCTACCAGGTAGTAAGTAACCAGGGCCATAGTATTTAGCAAGTGTCCAGCACAACTCAGGAACACACACTTGAAATTTATACGCACGTGTCCTAACGCCCGCCACCCACGAAAGCTTAGTAAGCGGGTTAGTGAGGTAGTTTGCTAAGAACAGCTCTCGTGTGAAGCAGGGTTTAGGTTTCCAACCTCACGAGGGAATAACATAAATAGTAAACACGTTTGATATCTAGCTAAGCCATCTCCTATCAAATAAGCTATCCCTAACCGTACGCAGCAAACTGAGGTGAGGAACACGGATCTAGGCACATGTATACATAGGTAATGCAGCCATACCAGTGACAGCCATGTTAAATTTGATGACACTTGTATGATAGCCAGATAGTATTGCACGATTTCAGAAAATCCCCTATAACGATATGTAAGCATAAGTGCGAACATAAATGATCACAGAGAAAGAAGCATGCAATGTGATTGTACCTTTGGTTGCACCTTGCTTTTCAGATTTTTTGTCTAGTAACAAAAATAAAAAAACCAGTAACATTAGTACCATGCACACTATGTAGAAGCATGATGTATTACAGTATTAGTGTACATATCAAGCACCAAAGTTTGAACCGATTTGTGTGGTGTCTGTAGCTTGGTTTTTGTAAACGGCAATTGATTCATTCATAACGAAAAAGATGCAATAATTAAACAATACATTATTATGAAACTACCATCATCATCAATCCATTACATAAAATATTGTCGCCAACCTTATATACCGTAATGATTTACTAAAAATATTCATATCGACCCTATTAATTATATATGGAAACACTGGAACGTTTCCCAGAGATGGCCAAGTTTTTGTAAATTCGTGAATTGGCATCAGCAACTTCAACTGGCCCATTAGTATGCCTGATGGCATATTGCATTTAATATGTTCATAAACATGCATTACGTTTTTCGGTGCAAAGTTACAACCTGCAAAATTACAGATGAATGCAGCCGCCGATCGTCTCGTTAATAAGCATGATGGCATACACAGAACAAATCAATAATTATTTAAATGAGTTACCCTCCCTATTTATCATCATTTCCTCATTTCCTCATATCCTCATTCATCCTTATTATGTTCAAACTATAACTTTTAGTTACGCAAAGAACCTATAATAATATATTCCGGTAGTATTAAGAGTATATATAGTAAGGAGACGTTCCAAGGAATATTTCTTCCTATGGTGTATATTCACCACGTATTGAACCGCGTATTAATTCATACCGCGTAAGTAATGTATAGTATTGCTTAGAAGCAGATGCTCTATCACAAAAATTATTGTGAGGGATGAGAAGCCACGTCATAATATCACACGTATCTCTATGGGGATGAAAGTGTACTAAGAAGTCAGTTAAAGTAGGCAAAAGGACAGTTGCACAGACTGGACTGCCACATACCTATTATATTCTGTTGCTGTCAATGTATATTGGACCACCAGAGATCGTTCAGAGAATATATATATATATAGCGAGAAAGAGAAAGAGAGAGAGAGAGAAAGAGAGAGAGAAAACGACCACATAGTCTAGAATGAGTACCTTTAGCAATTGACTGCTGGTCTTCATTTTTGCTTATGGCATCTGAAAAAGGGTATTGATTATGTACAGCCAACTACAGGTTCAGTAGCTACGTACAGCTGTCAGCGCAACGGATACACAGAACACTAACAGAGCCGGCGACAGCAGCAGCATGCTGGGCTTTATACCAGCCACTCTACAAAAAGAAAAACAAAAGGATCATAACATACAGCAAACAACAGGAAAAAGTCCATGGAGGTACTAGTTAGGATTATTATTATTAATTAGGAGATAGACCGACAACATTAGCGTGAAAGGGTTAAAGTCCACGACTAACTTCGAATCACGTTTAGGAATACGGACCCCCTACAATTTATATAAATTAAATTTTCAGTGGACCAGATAAACTGCAAATGTATAATAGAGCAAGCAATATTCATGAAACATCTACATAATTATGCTGTCCTTTGTGGTTATACTATTTACATTGTAATTAATATTGATTACTTATGTAATATGTTACACATGTGCATATTTAATACAATGTATATATATATATATATATATATATATATATATATATAACAGTATCATTTTACTTTATGTAAGGTTGAGTTACGTAAAAATATGAATTGGGACAAGGCTTTCATAAAGAACGCTTGGATTGCGGTTCAAGTAAGGACTCCGTTTGCAAGCAAATTTCCCTACTAAACCAGGTACACCTACACATGCTAGTTAGCACACATCGTGCGCAAAACCGTGAAATTGTGTGACTCTGACAAAAAACCGTCGGAGTAACGCGCCGAACCATAACAAATTCCTACTAGTGCCTTCACGAACGTATAAAATAGGGTTAAGCAACGAATTACATCCATTTCAAAAGAAGACAGAGAAGATAGAGTGGAAATCAAGAGCAGGCATAGAACCACATGAAGACCTTTTCACCTCAAACTAATTACTGCCACACAATTACGCGACATTTTCAAGTAATAAATGAGCGGCTGGCTACACGTGCATGGCGACCGAAATGGCAGGCGGGTTTGCGGCACCTAATGTTTTAACAGTGTAGAGATACGTTAAATGTAGTAACACCTTACCAAGGTCACATTTGCCAGATCACAATGCCTAAAATTTGGAAGGTATTGCGCAAATAACCAAGAATGGTGAAAAGGTCTACAGACCAGCGATCTACACAAGGAGATGGAATGGTAAAAAACTTCAGGTGACAAAATTACGCAATATGATATCACGACAGCAGAACAACAGCATTCACAATTCATAACCCACCAATGAGCTATTTCAATAATAGCCACCTGTTGTAAATTTGTTTAGTATCCCTATATCATAATGCATTTCTTCTTTCAATGGAGATCTTCATAACAAAATGCTTGTGCAACGTGGCGTATGAATTGACAGCCAGCAGGTGAAAAACAAATTCGACAGATATTTGAACTCTCAACCCCTCGTCATAAGAATGTCAGGTGCCACAAGGAGGTTATAGTCACTAATGACCAAAAACTATGATGAAACTACACAGGAATCTGAAGGATCTGCGTGTTGTTACCTTTATTGAGTGGGACAGGCTTTGGTGCAATGTCTGAAAGTAACAGAAAGACGCAGTGAAGCAAATGCATGTACCTATACTAGCCTAATTACGCACGAACAGACAGGGTACAGAACCGTGATAATGTTGTGTGATCCACATCCCTGGGTTCATTCCTGTTTACAGTGATCATGCATTCATGGTAGACATGCAACACGTTTGTATTATTGGTTGAAACTGAATTTTTACACGCGACTCACTTTAAATTGGCAGTACTCTCATACAGTAACGATTTGACCGAGTATTAATGCACACATCCCTTTAACATCGCAAACAGACAGGAGCTGGACATATTAAAGTCAAGTAATTTTACAAAAAAATCCCCAAATAACCTCGGAGGTGTAAATAAGGTAGAAACGACTGAAACTGAAGCCAAAGTAATGACAAAAATAGAAAACGACTCCACGACTTCCTCATCCTGCCTCCAGAAAAAAAGAGCAACCCTCGAACGAACAAATTGAAACCAAGCAGAGCAGCTTACAAAGCGACGGCCTTCTACCACACCAGAAAATGAATCATTCAAATAAAAATATCTCAAACTGTACGATACCATATAACCGTACTTCACTTATAATATTTATACGCACGAATCATCACATTCTATATATATGCCATGCTCATGTTGAAAATTGTTATTACTTTCCCAAATCCAATACATACGCTCAACAAACCCTCAGTTTATCAAAGAGCTATCAGTTTCTAAGCATAGTAGTAAAAATGGAAATAGAAACCAAACAATGCAGAAATACACGCATTCATTTGCTGAAAGCAATGATGAATTAAACCTGAATTGACATGCAAACAGCTTTATTGCACGGGCCTATAGTGCTTTCTCTTACATACGCGAAAACGCCTTTTACATCTTCAGTATCATTGTGTATTCAACGTGTATAACTGCCTCAGAAATACTGAACCTATTTATCATAGACTTATGCCAACACGTATAAACTCTAGAAAATGCGCATAGCACATGTTCTATTAATGCACGTATTTCATCCAATACTGGGTTGTTTCGACCGAAAACTAAAAAAAATCAAGCTCTACATACAACATAATCCTTGAAATGCTGTAACGTAAAAGATACTTGTAAAATATCTGAGTCACTGAAGCACAAATTGAGCACAATCATTGACTATTTCAATGTTAAATTATAACAATAAGCCGAAAATAAATAATAAATTAAGCAAACTAAAAAAAAAGAAGATTCTACAGAAAAATCACCACAAGTCAAGATTGCATTAAAAATTCAAGAAGCTACTAATGCAGTGCGTGTTAGCTAGCGGTTAGTCACCTGTGGTTTGCTGAGCAGTGTTAACATCAAGTTTGGCACCAGGGGGCAGAGATTTAGATTTCTCTTTAACAATCTCCATTGAATATACTGCAACAGAAGCAATGCTAGTTAGTGGGCATGCAACCCTACTAAAACAGACTACTAAAAAGCAGTGTTAGTGAAAATAAATCAAGAGTGCGGCATATCTGTATGAGTTTCTCCACATCATCTCGCCAGACAAAACACATACTACAATGTAAATCAAGCAGACGAGACAATGTAATGTCTATTCGTGTGCAGTGAATCCCAATGTGGATTCAATACACTCGAGCAGCTGTGTTTCATATATCTGTAGTAATTATTTGGGGTTTCTTCGAGAGCACAAACAACTACTTTTTTTAAAAGGTAATCACATTTCATTACTTGTTAATCTACTAGTGGCTAACAATAATTTCAGCAATTAGAAAGCGCCATATAACACCGACGTGTAGCAATCAGCAAACAGTAGACAGCCCGGAGGGACGGATGGACGGACAGACAGACAGATAGCCAGACATGACAGACCGAAGGCCAGATATGTAAGATCTATTTTGCAGGAAGAGGCATGACAACACTAGACCTACTTCAACGGAAACATGAATGCATATCACACTTGAAAGGCCAGTCTGACAAAAGAAAATATTCTCGCCTTCGAAGATTACTCCGAATTCCTATCCGTATAACGGTGGGCTTTTTGCACATTGTATTGCAATCCCACTCCACAAATTCCACCGAACATTTCCATTTTACACACCAATGTACGTATTACCTCGCACACAGTAACACATCAGGACTCATCCGAGTGGAAAATTGTCCCCGAGAACAGCGGCTATTTCTGTAGGATTAAGTATTAGCATGAACCAAGTTCCTCAGTGCTTAGTCTACTCAAGATGATTATTTGTCAGCTCTGCTTGTGTGTGATAGCATTACAGGGAACATACAAACAGAATATTAGCATTTCACTACAATGACTGAGGTAGAGAAGCCATGTGTAAAAAAATTTAGAACAAATTGAAAGCTTACATTATAAGAATGTGTGTACGTTTTCCTGTTTGTGCGTGCGTGCGTACGTGTGTGCGTGTATGGCAAATGACAACTTGAATAACGTCTTATAATATATCAGTAAAGCACGTGTCTGTATAGCTCTTTGTTGATGCTATTAATTAACAGCCGATTAAAAGCGAATACGTATTAATGAGGTAATCATATATCTTAATGGTATTTGCTTGTGAATTATATGTTATGCAAATGATTGGCTGTAGTAGCTTGTACGATCCTATCGCCACTATAGGAAAACGGGCACTTCACAATACATAATCACGCTTCTACTAAACTGGAAGGAATTCTCAATAATGTACCAATTAGGAAGGTAAATGTTTTAGTCGCAATCGCAAGCTTCAAAAAATATTAACGTGTTAATTGGGTCATAAAGCAGCAGTTTTTAATTGCCATTAGCAGATTATTAATGTGAGTAGCAGGGTCCACTCCATTTCGGCAGGCACGTGCTAATATATAAGCCGAACTTACAGCTCGAGACAGACTGAGACCTGTAATCAGAGGTGAGGAGACCAGGAAGACTCTGCACGCTGGAACTGCGGGAATAGCCACCAGGGGGCCATGGTGGCACCTGCAGTGGCTCCAGACTTAAGTTAATTTCCACACCTTCTGAGCCGGGAGCCTCTAGTGGGCTCAGCGAGCCCTTGGTAAGTGCCGTGTGCACAAGGCCAGTAAGGTCAGCTAGTTTCTTCTCCATGCTTTCAACCCTGAACCTGCAAAAATTCAGATCACAATTACACTCACTTGCATATCAAACCAATTTTCGAAGATCAACTTGAACTTTCGTGCTTACTACTTTTGTGTTTGCTATGAATGCACTCTTGAAATCATGCACATAAAAGTCATAGAAATTATATACCAAAACCGGTGATAGGGTCAATATATCATTAAAAAGATGTTAAACAGCTTTACGTTCTATAGAAGTAGTAATTAAGCTTGCGATGTATTCCTGTATGGCACAGTTGTGACCCAGTGATGTCAATTAGTGATTTAGCGGAAGGAATTTTCAGGCATTAAAATGCAAATTACATTCTACCAAACAGAATTTATTAGCTTATAACAGCATGTAAGCTTAGGGCAATTAGCTGTAGCAAGTGGCTGTATTCTTGCCATCTCATAGAAAACTGAAATCTAATAAAATGCACAAAACTCTCTTTATACCTTGCTTCTTCATCAACTATTCTTGGGGTGACACTGCCAGAGCGTGACCCAGAGCGCTGGGGAGATATGTAACCCTGTGGGGCTGGGGGACGTTGCAACCCATGCGACTCAAACCAAACTGCCGTAGTCTGAGAAGGAGCCGTGCCTCGTGGTAGTGAAGCAGCAGTTGGGTACTGCTGCGTGACTGTAACAGAGATAACAGCAACTACAACCACATTTCAGAAAAAGAAATGCCATTTTGTCAAAATATGAAGTAAATGGTTTAGCACGTCGGGAGACATATCAAGATACACGTTTCTTACATGATGGACCACATCCTTTTGGTTTGGCAGCATCACCGAGCACAGCAGCATAACAGTGCGTAGAGAGATGTTAACTAGATGAGGCATCGTTACTTATTGATGTCTGGTTAGCACAGAGTTACTAGTTGTAGTTACCTGGCTGTGGCTGAGTAGTGACTGGAGGAGGCAGGATTCCTTGTGGAGTGGTACGAGGCATTTGTTGTGCTCTCGCTGGTTTAGGAGGTGCTGGTGCTTGTGCCCCTCGGGGCTGAAGCTGACCATAAAAACCTAAAAAATTATAACAACCTTATTGATATATCACACACTAACTCTGAAATTGCGCTATGCAATAAAAATGCATTCCCTTACACAGATAAGGTCAAGCAAAATCTGGCAACAACAACCTAGAATCACCAGATCACCAAGGTATATGACTTACTGTTATCAGCTATACGCAAGGGCGTAGCCAGGAATTTGGATTGGGGGGGGGGTCCTCGAGCGAGTAACAAGGGGGGTCTGGTCATCTGGAATTTTTTTTTTAGTTAAATGTAAAAATAGTGCTTTAAAATCAATTTATATGCTGTTTTGTTGACAATAATATTTCTTCTGCAGCTCTACAACGACACCTATTCGATAACGACAACTACACGCTTTTAAGAGAAAAAACTTTAAGAGAAAAGGGAATTTTTTTTTTTTGGATTTTGATTTTGATTGGGGGGTCCTAGGGCCCCCAGGACACCCCCCCCCTGGCTACGCGCTTGGCTATACGCACTGAGTTCACGTGACAACGTGCGAGTTCACGATTACCTGAAGATTGGCTAACAGATGTTGGAGGCTGTGGAACTGGTGCTCGCACAGTATAAGGTTGCGATCGAGCAACTGACGTCTTGTGCACATGCTGTGACTGGTAATTACTGTCAAACTCTGGCTCAGAGAAGTAGTTCAGGTCATCGGGCGGTTGCAAAGGTTCCTCAATGTCTCCTGAGCCACGATCATGAATACGAAGCAGGCACCTGTCTTTGATATCACTACAACAGCAAATGTATTACACCGAATGCAAATGTCACTTCAACGCTATCGTTTACCCTCTTTTTTAGAAATAAATTATTGAAAGCATCTCAGCCCTTTGATTAACGTTCTACAGTAGACATTCCCTGATGTATACAGACGATTGCATTCATGCATATACACAATTCCAATTGTAACTGTATGGGTTTGCATCGCATCATCGGAATCTCTGATGGAGTGTGCTTCTAGTTGTGCCCAACTTATAATCAGATAAATCCAGATTATTGTCGTTTATAATATGCTCTTCTATCCATGTCATTATTTCAAAATACATCATTAATGTGATATCACTGATAACAATTTGCATTGTTGTTACTTTCCCACATAATTACGGTACCCACAATTATTGGCCATACAATAGATGTTGATGTTCAATAGCAGGGAATTGTTCTTATTTTGGTTCTTGACGTTGGAAAAATCGGCCCTTCTCACTGTTCTCAGCCATGTTGATGACTGCTCAGGAAACCAAGCTTGAGGGCATTTCGTGTAAAAATCCATAGCAAAGCTTGTCTTACACATTTGCAGATGACATGCTGTGAGTAGCTTGTTTTAGTCAGCTACTTACAGGTCTCAAGTATTTAAGTAGGGCCTACATATTATACAGGAATATTACAAAGGAGCTATTACGTAAAAAAATTGAAACTATCTACAGCCAGCTGAAGAATCTACAAGTTTATAGCAGCTATAAAGTATAGTATACTAAAGTATATAGATTTAAGAGATGCCTGAATGATGTGAGACTAGCCATATGTGTGCTAGCCATGTAGACTAGCCATGTGAGACTACCAGATGTGTGTGCCCTAAACGTTCAGGGTAAGAAGCAGCTTGACTGAAGCCACTACCATCAGCTCAAGTGGTCCGTGTAGATGTGTAAACATGCAGACGTATTAATATGCCATTATGTTGTATTATTCATACACATGTTGTTATCATCTAATCTGGCATGTAATTCAATCAAGATGAATCATTGAGTTGATATGCGATGTAATATCGATTTATGTCCTGCCAACCAGCAAAAGAATTGCGGACTGATCAGTATGTAAAATGCGCAGCAAGCTACTATAACCAATCCGCCAAGCTAATCGAGCTGGCGAATGGTAGAACGGTAGCAACGGTAAAGAATAATGTCAATTTTGTAATCACAACCATAACAAGGGGGCAACTTTCGTTTAAATGGTTTCACAACAGAAATGTAACTACATGTTAACTGCAGCTAGCCGGTATCAGCATGCCATAATCAGTAGTAACGAATACGTCAGACAAAGTAAGAAGATTTTAGAGCAGCAGTAGTAAGAGATAAGCCAATAGAGCTACAGGAATTCATGCGTTAATATCACAAAAATATAACAATTCGTTTAGCTTATAGAGTGTAATGTGTGAGTGACATAAATCAACATTCAGTAAACTGATGTTGCTTTACGGCACACGCGCCTATAGCAGATGTAATAATTCACTATAGAATAGGCTTTGAGGTTCTCCTTAACGAGGTTAGAGATAACTGTAGCTGAAGAGTTGTGAAAAAGATTTCACAGATTCCCACGTGTATTATAGCTATCCATTTATTCCAGTTAATTTACCTGAATAATAAGATCATTCTACATTAATATCTTAAAAGAATATCATATTAAAATTCTCGTGCATATACTGCAGCAATTGCTTCATTGATATGTGCATTATCACATCATAGGTATAGCAACCTAATGAAAGCACATACAATAAATGATAAACAGTTTGATAATAATGAGAAGAAACCGTGCACTATATATTACCGAAGTTTTCCTGAGTCCACACTACAAAGCAAAGAAAGGAAAACTTTTCAGACAAAATCCAAAAATCTTTGTCACTCCCACACAGAAATACAACAAGACAACATGTAATTTCTATGCAGCTAACCATCCGTATAATCCATGACAACCTTGTATTATGAAATAGAAACATGTGCCAATTTCACCTTGATAACTTGAGAATACCCTCAAAAATTAAAACTGATGCAAAGCAACACATATTTGCATGAAATTTCGCAACAAACATATAATGTATATTTATGCGGATGACAGGTAAATATCGTACATTACTAACGATATTGTTAGTTTATGTGAATATTGTCATCACTCGGCAAGTAAAAATAAACGGCCATTACTTGGTGAGTCGAAGCAAATTTCTCACTACAGCCGCCAACAAATACATGTGGATGACACTTGACTAGTAAATTGAGTAACCAAAAGATATCACTCATCAGCAAGGAAACACGTTAGTTACAGGGATGGGAACATATCACCCACAGTGATAACATATACTAAAAAATAAATATTTTGTTCCCCTGACAAAACTGTGATTATAGGTCTGCCTGATTTCCCAACCATGCAGACTCTTCAATTGACAGAGCTGTTCATTGTTTTCAAATCAGTGTCAATTCAGATGATTACCTAATGTCATCCAACTCATAGAAAACGTCTTTTGTGTTGAAGTCGTGGATGTATATGCAACGGTTGGGGTCCTCCAGATACTCCATCGTCAGTTTCTTTGGCCACGCACGCACAAATAGCGCTCGGACGGTGTCCACTGACGTGATCTCGTTGGGTAAAAGTGCCCGCTTTGTTTCATTTTTAAATTGCAAAAAGACAACACCTGCAATGGCAAAAAGACACTCTAGAGGTGTGGACCAACTTATTACCAACAACTTGTGTAGAAATTAATTAAACCAAAGCACAGGTGTTGTTATTTTCACATCCACGTGCACATCTGCTAGCTAACTGCCACAGACAGCTTGACGGCTCTAGAGTGTAACTTGTATTCGCCCAAAACTGGAAAATAAATATTAAGTTCAAGTATGCGGCAATGCATTATAATAAAACACCAGCCTCGGACAAGTGACTCATAAGTTAATAAATCTCGCAATAAGTGATCAATTGCAACTTTTCCCAAAATCTAATTAATCAAAAATGTCCTGGATAGCCTTCAATAAAGTGCCTATCTAACGGCAGAATGGATATAATAAAGCCGACACGAGGACGATCAAAAATCCTGTGAAAATTGATTTTGAGTGGCAGAACATAAGTGTTCGCTGAAATACCCTTCAGAAAGAGTAATGTGCTCGTCTATAATAGCAGATAACACAATGTGCTGTCACAATGACTCCACCACCTCCTAATTATGTGTTCTCCATCGCATTCTCAAGATACAATCATATAATGTTCTTTCCCGATTAAACCCAGTCTGCCCCATTTGGGGGAGTTGTTACTATGGAAAATCTTACGACAGCTAGATACAAAATCTGCACGGTAAACATACTTATGCAGCATAACATGATGAAGTTCCTTAATTATTTCAGAATACACTATTCATAGTTTAATCCTTTGTGTGAAAGCACGTCCATGTGTTCCTGTATGTGTACCGTTGTATCTAAATTAGTGCATGCGTGTGTGAGCGTGTACATGTGCGCGTACATGCGTGTGCGTGCGTGCGTGCGTGCACGCGTACGTCTACAAATATGCGTTCGTGTGCGGACACGTGCTTCAGCAAGTAGCGTGTGCGCGTGTGTGCAAATGCGTTTGTATCCGTGTAAAACTATATGCAGCACACCTTTCTTCGTCACTTGCGGATGCACGACACGCTTGACAGTCAGCGATCTAAAGGCAGGGCTTCGTTTTAATGGCATCTCAGCCGTGAACGCCAAGTATCGACGATGCTATTCACGAAAACTTTACGCCATCGCGTCACACTCGAATGTCTGGCTAGCACATACTATCTCCATGTACCGGCAGTCGTAAACACCGTCACAATTACACCGCTTGTGATCCACCTACTACTGCACGATGTACACGCATGTCCCGACTATATCTGGTTTGCAGAAATCTGTCTGTGGCCGTTCCATACATACTGTGAAGGGGCGTACAGCAAGGTTATCTCACACGTTCAGAAGGGTTGCAGAGCAAAAATGCGGCGAAAGATCAGTACATCGGGGTGGGAATGCACCCCCAGTGATATGGCGAGGTCGACCGAAGGCACGGTTGAATGAGAATGGAATTCTAACTGCTTCCCGGGAACATAAAACCAACAAGGCACAACATGTGGTCCAGAATATTCCGCACCGATTGGCTTCCCGGTGCTGGCGACAGACTGGCTCTATCAGCAAGCACTATGACGCCCATCCCCGCGTGGGAAGGCACATAAATATCGCTGCCACGATACGCTTAAGGCATAAGGTTAGACAGAGGTGCATCTTGTTCACTGTACACTTAGATCGCCCGAAGTGGCAATGAGCGCACAAAAAGCGCAGCGAGATGGAGAAGTTGCGCAATACCAATGCCAAGCCGTCTAGCTACCCATGCAGAGATGCACGCATTCCACCGCCAAATCTAGGATATGCTTCATCCTAATTATAGAGTACAACCCAATTACGAAGCAGTCACTATATTAAGCTGCATTCAAACTAGAAGTGGCTGTAAGAACCTCTTAGTGAAACCACTTAATCCTGCGTAATTTGCGCATCACAGAGTCATAGAAGTCAATAAACATTTACCGAGTGGTCTCTCCAGCGTCTTGGAAGGGCTACGGACAATAGGGAGAGAGGATCTGGCCTTGGCTCCCCGGCGGAAGCCAGTGGCGCTGGTCTCAGCCTCCGACATCATACCAGGATCATCGTCTCCAAGAGGACTCTTCTTCGTGGGAAGCGTTGTTGGTCGTTCCTGCATGTACAACCAGCAGATGAAAGTAATGTGAGGTGTGTCAATCAGACGCTAGGCTATGGCTATGGCGCTAGTTTAACTGCCATGCAGGCATGACATGGGTATAACATGTGGCTAGTGGATGGCCTACAATTTCTCGCTACAATCTATCCATAGAGTGTCCAAAGTGTTACGCATTGGTGGAATACATTGGGATGGTTCGTATCACGTTAAGATGAAGTCAATTTTAATTTCAAGGGTAAAGTGGCAATAGCCGCAAACCACTATATAGCCCCTTATTACTGCACAGTCATACACGAACACAAACCACGAATGTAAACATAAGGTCTTTAACATCTGTACTAGCGTGTGGTGCAGATTGTCGACGCGAAACAAAACTGCAACCCCAGTACGTGGCGGAGTGCGTAAGAAAACATCGCAAGGCATGTTGTTTTTTACAGCCGACCCAGGTTCGCCAGGCATTCTTTTTTCGCAGCAGTGCCGAGTTAAATATTTTAAGTAGGTCTGGAGGTTGATGCACACGTAAGCAGAAAGCAGAGTGCTGATACAGTATGAGGCGTAAAATGGGTGTATATTTTAACGCCAGAACGAAAAAAACATTTTTACTGCCACGCATGATTCCTGGGGATAGCCTTCTAGAAATTAACGTAAGCAGGAAAACTCTTTTTTAACCATGAAGTTTGGCTTGCCTAGATTTTATAGGGAGTTTATGCCTCATGGTTTTTGATCGTTTTACTCAACGAAATTGAGTGAGAACTAGAAATATATACTTAGAGGTGAGTGAAGACCCAAATATTTACCGTAAACTGAGATTTGTGTACACTATCACGGCCTCACACAGTGATTGCTTTTTTTGAACAATTACTTGAATTAAGCAGTATAAGCATACAAAAAAACACAATTTCACTGCAAACTATATAATAGAAAAAGATAGGCCATCTACCTGTTTTTTAGATTTGCTACCCAGGCTAGTCGGACTGCTATCGGCAGATTTTGAATCCATGAAGCTAGCATAATTGTATTTTCTTTGTAGATTCTCGAAGAATGCCTCTCTCTCCTCCTCTGCCTGTGGGTAAAGAAACACAGATTGCATATATTATAGATTTTGTTAAGCAAAGAGTATAAATAACATAGGGCATAGCAAATCAATGAAATAAAGGACAAAAAACGGAAACACAGAATCTTGCAATATAAGGATGAACCCACATGCTAGAGGTGTTTGATAACATGTAATGGCAAAACATAAACACCTATTGCGAGATCAACGGCTGTTTAAATGCTTTACAGACTGTGTGCAAATGAAAATGATTAGGTACTTTTAATGTATTTTTGATACAACTAAGGGTTTAACGACAGGGCCTATATTAGGTTTTCACCATAAATTCCAAATAATGAGAAGTAACAATAAGTTTTTACCTTATCCTTTGGCTTCTCAGTTGAATTAGATCCTGGGTTATTTTTTGGTTTATGCGTGGAGTTTACAGGATTGGTTGGCCATGCCTTTGGAAAATCAATCGCAGCCTTTGCACCTGCGTTGTGGTCCATTTCAGAAGCTTCTGTCGCCGTAGCGATGATATCATTTACCTCATCTTCAGACGCGGGTTGGCGCCGTGTCGGATCCCGTTGTACTACCTCACCACTTAGGGGTGTTACGTGGTTTGCATGCTTGCTGTTAGCATCCGCTGAGTCTGTGACAGGAAGCGCACCAGTCGGGCCTGTAAGAAAGACGATAAACCATGTCAATGTATATATTAATGTACATTACTACGTAGCTGTAAAGGTGTACAGTTACATAATGAACATCAAACCTGCATTGCCTTACGTTAAGGCAATTAGCACAGTTAATGTGACACTGTTAAGTAGGTGTGTATGGATAGCAGGGTAGCATCTTAACATAATGCCAATACGAAACTCATGTAATAACGACAAAATGATGTATATATCATCAAAACAAATGTGGTAAGAATGTTAAATAACACATTTAAATTTAGGCACTATCACTGGGTGCAGTGGGTTTATTTTGCATGCTACAAGAATGCGCAGATGATGTGGAATTGTTGTGGAATCGGGAACACCCTATTCATTATATGGGAACTATATAACTCACTTGTCACACTGACATTAGATACTACTCTACCATCACATGAATATCCGTGGCTTCGACAAACACACATTACAAAACCCCTACTCATTCTACATTTTCAGTGAGTAGGCCCCCTATAGGATTCAAGCAGCAAAAGATTTCCTGTTAAACAGACAATTAAGCACCACGACTTCTGAGTAACAAAAACTAACACTCGAACTATAACAAGCTCAACTTTATTAAAATATGCAGGAACACGTAAAAACTTCACACGGTTAGGCCTGTGATTTCAAATAATTGTGAGCATGCTACAAGTGGCATATTATTTTACAAACTGCATCGGGCTGCAATGCAAAGTAATGCAATGCAATGCAAAAGTAAACTTTTACTAGAACAGTTTCGTTATCAGAAAAACGCACATTTTGGGTACGTTTTAAGAAACTTATAATGGTAGTTTACCAGCGAGACTTTCCGACAGGTTCACATTGGGTCAGTTGGACAACACATGCCTTACCAAGATGAAAAATGTTAATCTCAACTGGTACTATTAAACCAGTTAATGTTTTCCTAATTGTGAATATCAGTTATGAGGAAGTCCGAAGGTGAAGCCATTTAGATTGGCACTGTAATTGCACGTATGTACTACTCTGTATTTATCCTGTATGGCACCTATTTAGCATTTACCACCTGGCCTCGGCAATTTGGTACCATTAATTAAAAAAATGGCTCATAGGTTCCCCTCCACCATGAATATAAATGACAAATATAAACAATATTCATGTAAATGGTAAGACAACTACATTTATGCCACAGTTAAAGATATCAGGAAAATATATTTATAACCGTAAATTAGATGCAACCTTTTTGTAACTCTATTTGGCATGGTTTTAAACTGCCTAATATATCTTTATAAAACAATAAAGAACTAATCACCAAAAATTGTTCATCTAACAAAAAATGATCGCGTGAGGAAATTTAATAGCCACGACCAGAAAGCTCCTACTGTAGACCGAACGTTCGTCAGAATTGTCCCAAATAAATTGTTGCAAAAATATGTTATATTTTCACAAAAATACCAACACACCGTTACCTAACAGAAACCTGCAGTTACATGCTAGTGTGAGGATTATCATTGCAATCGCAATCGCATGTATCAACACACTAAGTATATGCTAAGTATATGCTAAGGCGTGCCCCAGAAATACGATTTTTAAAAAGACAGAGGGCAGAATAACACGCATCACGATTCACGTGTGCGAAGTTATTATACATGTATGGCAATTATAGCAAAGTTTATTACAAACACTAGTAAGATCGTATAGTAGGAGTTATAAGGAGAAATCAGTTATCATCATGGTAAAAAATAATGATCGGGCATACATAAGGAAGCAAGAAATTGAAAGCAAATAAACAAATTAACTTAAAATTAAATTTAAACTTAACTAAACGTAACTTATTAAACTTAAAATTTATGAACTTATTTTTTTAACATATGAAGTGACATCACAATTTGACGATGAAACTACAGCAAAATAAGCTGAAATTGTATCGAACTGCGACGTTTCTAAAACCGAATAATACGCCCCAACGATAATATTAACTTTATACTTCATCTTTTCCACTTGAAATAAATAGCGATTGCGCATGACGCCTTCTTCGAATCCATTTGCGACCAACGCAACGACAGTGTTACGTGCTACACACTTCAATGCCATCTAGTGCTACACTCTTCGTGAATGCCATCCAACATTATTCAATCGCACTCCCCGCATACTTTACAGAACTCCACATTCCTTTGCCGATGTCATTTGAGACAACACGTACACACTTGACCGTAGAGAGGAACCGGTCTTCACGGGAGGGAAGTGAAACCATGTGTTGTGGCGCAAACACTCCTTATGCTGCGCAGTGACAGAGTATAGCCAGCGCCCCTACCACACGATGAAAGCTAGCCATCGAACGCTGTCCACGTTGGAGACAGAAAACCGATTGCGAAACGTATGACGTAAATAAATCAACGCTAATAGCTCACATGCCGATGAGTAAAACATAATAGCAAGCTGGACTTTGGGAACACATAAAGTACTCAGTAATAACCTCTCGGCTATCTGCAATCAAGCTTGATGCCTCTGCACGTACAGTATGTATAACGGGTCCATCACGCGAATGCGCCGCTAGCGACAGAACTAGAAACGATCGAGATGGCTTCAACAGCGAGTTCGCTTCCCCAGGAAGCCGTCATCGGTCACGCTTCATAAACACGCTGGCTGCATCCCATTCGGCTGATCTCCGCTCCTCCTCCCTCTCCCCCGGGGCCCAGCCTGCAATATTCTGCTGTAGGCAGCTTTTGTTTACGTAACCCAGCCAAAACTGGAAGCTACCGTGCACGCTGTTGCATTTCTGTAGCCAGTGGCCCAGTGCGCAGCCAATACGTCGTTGGTGATCGTGAGTTCATTCAACTAAGATCATCATCACTCACAGCTCTGTACAGCAGAACGGAATATGTGCACCCCGCACATATGGCTGCCACACTTTACGTCATATACTATATTCGGCGATGCGCACATTGCTGATCAAAAGTATCATTACCGGTGTCTACGTGCACAGCATATAGATCACACAGCCATCCAGCCGATCTAATAATTCCCTATCACCGCTGGCATATATTTCCTTATTACCTCCGCCAAGGGGTTGGCAGGAGGTTATGTTTTCACCGGCGTGTGTTTGTTGGTTTGTGCGTGTACAGCCTAACTGGAAAAGTTATGGACGGATTGTCATAAACTTTTCAGGATAGGTCAGAAATCGCCTAACTTAGAATTGATGAGATTTTGGTGGTGATCCGGATCCAATTAATTAATTAATTAATAAAATTTTCAGGATAGGTCGGAAATTGGGTAACTTAGAATTGATGAGATTTTGGTGGTGATCCGGATCCAATTAATTAATTAATTAATAAAATTTTCAGGATAGGTCAGAAATGGGGTAACTTAGAATTGATTACCTTTTGGTGGTGATCCGGATCCAATTAATTATTTAATTAATTAATTAATTAATAAAAATATCCACATTGAGAAAATTGAGCTGCCTTGGCGGAGGTCTGTGCTCTCCGGGTGCTCTAGTTATGACATGTTTTGCGCAGAGTAACTTCACTTATTTCATAGCTGCATTTAGGTGAAAAGCATGCGGAAAACGACGTTCATAGCACTTCCCCAACCGGTCAGGGCGACACTGCCTGCGCGTGTGTCAAGACTAAACTAGTGTTCCACATCGGAAACCCCCTACTGGAACAATATCGTCTCAGACACGTATAGACAACGCCACCGAAAAGTTACATGATTCAACAAGAGAACAAGAGCTGTCTAAAGCGGTCAATCAAACAACCATAATACCCCGTTTGCCCATGTTTTTGCATTTCATATTATTTTCATGCACGACATGCACTGGCAAAAATGGCAATCTGGTCAAGAATATTTTTGATTTCAAGCTAACTGGAATTGAAAACGGCCTTACATAAGCACCGTTTTCCCCCACTATGTCCATGATGATCATATCCAGAACGTACGCACGGGCCGTTTGACGGTTAATTGTAAAAGGACATGCACGTCGGAATTATTGAAGAACATTTATCAAAATGTCAATTTATCAATCTTTTTCTAGAAAATTGCATCATAATGAAATTCGCGTCTATTAGGGAGAGGGGGCATTCTCTCATCAAGTTAGCTTTCTCAGACAGTGGAACGATGCAAGCACGCAAACTGTCGCTATATAATATTTGCGCAACCATTTCAACGCTACAGTAACTTACGGCTCGTTAGTTTCTTCAAGTTTCTACATTTATTTATTATATATATATATATTTATTATATATTTATTATATTTATTTATTATATTATCACGAGACGCTTTATAACTACAGTGTGCAGGAACGTAAAACGAAGAAGGGTCGACTGCAACCCGGACTATATATGTCTATTTGGAAGATTCTAATTAAAACAAGGAAATGTTTAATGAGAACCGAATGAAAGTTTGTTCTAGAGACGATTACACAAAAACTGAATGAACTGCCGAATACTTCAGTATACCTGTTTTATTTATCTCTAGTAATAACTCAATATACTCAACCTAGTGATATATTAAATTTCACTGCGTTCTTAATGCATTGTTACAAACGAGTATTTAATTCACATTTAGCTGCAACCTCGTATTAACTCCCACGTAGACATTGTACGGCGTGTCTGGTATGTGATTTCTATAAACGCAGAAAATATCTATATATCCATCCAGCCCACATCTGCGTGCCCGCCCAGTCACATAAACATAAAAAATACAGGCGTGACTCGTGCCTCGCTGCAATATTTGCCTCTTTACAATTTCCTCTAATTTTTCAGACATACAGTCACGTGTAATTGTCACATCCATCAAAGATTCAGAATTGAAATACATGTGTGCAAAGAGATTCGGTAGCAGTAGCGAGTGGTACATCACTTTAGAGTGTCTAGATGGCTGGGTGAGAGGGTCGGTGGAAGTAGTATGACGAATGCCGGGTGTTGTGTAAACATACGCATATGTTTATGTTGTAAACATGGCGCACGTGTCTGAGTACGTGGACTTGCTCATGATCGCGCGCCCGCG